ATAACGACCACATGATTACTTTAATCGATACAGAAAAAGTATTTGACAAAATTCAACATGCATTCATGATAAACACACTCAGTGAAATAGGTATAAAAGTTTCCTCAACACAATAAAGACAATTCACAAAAGTCCATAGCTGACATCATAATCCAATGGGGGAACACTGAAAGCTTTTCTCTAAGATTCAGTCCAAGACAAGGATTCAGTCCACTCCAGCCACACACAGTCATAATGTTTTAAAAAATTAAACAATACAGAAATACAAAGACTACAAAGTAAAAGAACCATCATCCCACCAATGCCATTTCCTTCCCCAGAGGTATGGTAATATACTTTTAGAGCTTTTTCTTTCCTTAGTCACACACACCACACACACTGACTCGGTCACACTGTACATACTGTTCTGCATCTCGCTTTTGTCACATAGCAGTTTATAAACTACACAGTATTACATTAAATTCTAATAATTTTTCATTAGTTAACCATTCTTGGATTTTCACAGTACATGACCATAGCATCTGCCATTACATTAAAAAAAAACCTTAATCATGTTGTCTTTTTGCAACAGCTAGAGTATCCCCAACAAAATTAAATAATCAGAATGACAGAAGAAAGCCTATGTCCCTAACTTAACAATAATGTCTTTAATGTAATTTTAATGTTATCTGTAGGCTCATATAATAAAATGCCTATGTACACTAATTTTTTTTAATCAGAATGAATGTGGAATTTTTTAATGCCATGTTGACCTCTACTGCAATGATAACATGTTTTTTCTCTTGAGAGAAATTGGTATAATTAATTTTATTAACAGATTTTCTAATATAAAAATATTTTTGTATTTATAGTTCTAGTGGATTATTTTTAATAGAATACTAAATGAAATTTGGTAATATTTTTATTAAGATTTTCATACATGAGATTGTGATTGACCTGGTTTTTTCTTTTTATTCCTTGTCAATTTGTTTCTTTATGAAACTCTGCTTTCAACTTACTTACTTCCAAACATCCTTTTAATTCTCCAGAGTACAGCACAGACTGGTTTGGTGCTCATCAAATCAGTCTCCTCTTCCTGGGAACACAGCGAAACCACACCGCCAGTGCCTTGCACGGGGTTGGTTCCCACCGAAGGCACAAGAGTGCTGAGAAGTTTGTTCAGAGCAGAAGGGCCTTTCCCCCCTCTCTCTCTTCTCTTCTTTCCACAGCAAACACGGAGGTCATGGAGCTGCAGGGTGGAAAAGGCTTAGACCCTTCACTGCTTGGGGGAAAAAAACTCCTGGGAGAACCACCCCCCCAGGAAAATCCACACTGGGACTATTGAGTAAAACTATCGTGTTAAACTACTGAGACTCGAGGTTGTTTGTTACACCAACTAATACAGTACAATACAATACAATACCATCTTCAAACGTAGTTATATGCCACATAACTACATTTAGGTTAAGGATCAGCCACATGTACAACAGTGGTCCCTTAAGATTATACAGTGAATGGTTCAGGAGAAGATTTGGCAGACTGCCACAAGCTCCTTAAAAAGTTTGAAGACTTAAGCTCTGGCTGGTGTGGCTCCGTGGATTGTGCACCAGCCTGTGAACCAAAGGGTCACTGGTTTGATTCCCAGTCAGGCCAGTTCCCCAGTAGGGGGTGCACAAGAGGCAACCAGACATTGATGTTCCTCACCCTCTCTCTAAAAATAAGCAAAGTCTTTTTTTTAAGTTTGAAAATATGGACACCCCCAACATCGAAAGGTATTTCATTAATAGAGAAGACTGTTCACGTATTATCTTATAAACAAATCTACAATGGAAAACAAAGAAACAGACCAAGCAAAGCACCATGGTCATATCGCTGAAAAGAGTGATACCCCCTCAAGAAGAGCGTCAGGCAGGCCCTTCAGGGGCTGTCCCAGGAGAAGGGGTGCCGTCGCGGCAGATGGCCGCTGCTCACGGCTCCTGCAGACCTTCCCACAGTGTCCCGGTGTGGAGGCGGGACACGCAGGTGTCAATGGCCCTGACACTTGGTAGATCTAAGCTAATGTGTGGGTTTGTGTCTTAGTTTTGAACAAAAATACTTAAAAAGTAAAAAAAAAAAAATGTTTAAGGATTAAAAAAGCCTATAGAATATGGATATAAAGAAGATAAACATTTCACATAGCAGTACAGTGTGTTTGTTAAGAGAGTTGAAAAGTTAAAAAAAACTTTAAAGGTAATAAATTCTGAAGAAAGAAAAATATTTGTACGGGTTTAGCGCAGCCGAAGCGTGCAGTGTCTACAAAGCCCAAGTCGTGTGTAGCAGTGCCCCAGGCCGCCGCACTCCCTCGCCACTCACTCATGGACTCACCCAGAGCAAGTTCCATCCTGCAAGCCAGGTTTGTGGCAGGTACCCTACACAGGTCTAGTGGTTTTCATATTTTCTATGTTTTTGCTGCACCTTTGCTGTGTTTAGATATGTTTAGATACACTAATATTGTGTCGCAAGTGCCTAAAGAACTCTGTCCAGCAACACCGGTACAGGTTTGTAGCCTGGGAGCAACAGGTTGTACCATAGAGGTGTGTGGCAGGTTACACCATCCAGGTTTGTGTTCACACGCTACGATGACAGAAGGGCCTCACGAGGCATCTCTCGGAACATATCCCCACCACTAAGTGACACAGGACTGCTTTCAATGCAATTTGCATGAATCCACTTAAGTGAAAAGTGAGACACATGGAATGAAAGATAACAGATAAAAAGTGGTTTCCTCATACCCAATACTCTATTTGGACCGAGTGCTACACTGGTCTGTATGGCAGAATAATATTTTTTGAGAAACGAATCTAATTTTTTCCTGATTAGTTTCCTCCTCCACCTTTTTAAGCTGATAGTTGTCTCGGAGCGAGGATGAGACAGGACAGAAAACAGAAAATATTATTCCTATTGGTTTCCAACAACCTAATTCTATCAGGAGATTTTGCTAGATGCCTCAAAAGCAAATATCAAGACAGAAAAGGAGGAGGGAGACCTGGCTCGGTGGTTCAGTTGGTTGGAGCATCGCCCTGGAACCAGAAAGGTTGCAGGTTCCATCCCTGGTCAGGGGAGTACTGAAAGCAACGGATGGATGTTCCTCACATCAATGTCTCTCCCCGCCCCCACCCCGCCTCCTTTCCTCTCTAAAATCAGTAAACACATCTTCTGGTAAGAATCTTTTTTTAATGTATTAAGAAAAGGAGGAGGGGAGAAAGCAGGGTTCCCTCAGAGAAGGAGGAGAGCTGGGGAGAGCAAGACTTCAGTGGATTTCAAACAGCCCTGACCTTGCTGCGTGGCCCCTGGGAAGACAGGGAGACCCCAGAGAGGGATGGTGGTGGGTGTGGGGATGAAGATTCTGCAAAGTATAGAAAGAGCTCCGGGAGGTCAGGGGTACACAGGCAGAAGAGGATGTCTCACTTTCATGCTCCAATCTGGCCCTGGACCACCTGATCCGTAGATGCAACCGAGGATGTGATCTCGGAATGTAACACCAGGGAAAACTGGTGGTTCAGAAACAGAGAGCCGCCTCCTCAAGGGCTGGCATTACACAGTTGCCTCCAAGCAAAACAGAGGGAAAGCCCAGGTTGCTTGTGCCAGGCTCCGGGGATCGACAAGGAGAGAAACATACCCCTTCGCGGAGCTTACCATCCTTACCTGCTTTCTTGTCACCCTGCGGGTGGAGAACCATCTCTGGTTGAAGAGCTTAGGGCGGGGCGGGCACGGTGAGGGGTGCGTGCGTACGTGGGTGCGCTCTGGGCGGGGTGGGAGCTACGGTGCTGCCCCGCCTGAGCACGCGGGACTGGAAGAAAGGCTGGAGGGTGTGAATTGGGCGGGCGAGGGTGGGCGGCTCCGGGCTCCCCCAAGTCAGGAAGTGGGCCGGGGCTGGCGGCCAGCAGGGGGCGCCGGAGGACCGGCCATGTAGCGGGGGTGGATCTCGGACGCTGTCCCTGCGGGATACCCCAACCCATCCCCCTGCGGTGCTGGCTTCCAGACCCGGAGCACAGCGAGGAGCGGCGGGCGTGGGAAGATGGGCAGAGAGCGCAGCGGAGCCGGAGCCTGGCGTTACCTCCGGGGGCGCCTGCCTCTCACACAGGGTCTCAAATTGAGGTGCTGAACCTCAGACCAAACAAGTGTGTGTGCAGCACCCCGTCGGGATCGAGGCAGGCAGCCAGTCATTCTGAAGCAAACACGTAAAACATGTGACATTTATGGTACCATAGTTTAGGCATCCCTTCCTATTTTAAAAATCTGCCAAGCTTGGAAGATTGTGTGGTACCCTCTGAGGGGCCTGGCCACGGGCCCTCCTCAGTCCCCAGAATGCCTCTTCAGTCCCCAGGCCTTTTGCCCATCCCCCCCCCTCACACCCCTACACCTCCTTCGCCCACCACGTGGTTCTCATCCCATCCTCCACAGGTCCCAAGCTTCTCAGTGCACCCCCAGCCCTGCCTCAGATAAGCACCTCCTTTTCTTCCTTCCCTTTTTGTCTTCTCGGGCACCTGTTGCAGGTACAGCCACCACCCTCACCCTCACGCAACCTGACCCCGGGAGAAAGGCCCAGGGTCACGGCTCCCTCACAAGGACACCCCTCTCCTGACACCCCGAATCTAGGCCAGAACACCCAGACCCTGCATCCCAGCCCTGGACGCCAGCATCTAATCAGGCCTAACTTCTCCCCAAAGTCCTAAGTGGTAAATGCAGAAGCAGAGTGGAGTCAGCGGGGACAGGGGTCAGAGGGCAAAGCCTGACTTCCTCCAGTGGGCTACAGAACCAGGTGACCTGTTGCTAGGCAACCAGCTCTCTGGTGGCTGCTGATGTCAGGCTCCAGCCCCTTCCCAGGAGTCTCTCAGAAGCCCACCCTCTGTGGACCAGGAAAAGCAGACAGAAAGGAGAAACAGGAACAGGATCCCAAGGACCCCTGGGCCACCTTGGCTCCGCCACTCACTGTTTTACTGTGAAGTTTCGGCTGCCTGGGTCATTTGATCACTGCCATCATGAGTCTAGGCATCATGGAGGAGGAAGATCTGGCCGAGTACTTCCGGCTGCAGTATGGAGAGCGGCTGCTGCAACTGCTTCAGTGAGTGTCTCGGGGTCTGGGCAGCCCTCTCTGTGCCCGGGACCTCTTATACCTGCCCATGCCCCACTTCCAACCCCTCCTACTCCTATAACCCAGTGCCCCAAATCACCCACGCCCATCACCTGGATCTGTACCCCTTATCATCTGCCTCATCTTGCTCCACAGATGTCAACACAGCTCTCTCTTCCTCTGATTAGATGGTTCCTTTTCCTCACCTGGGGGCAGGACTACCTTCCCTCCCCCATGGCCTTCTGTCTCCACGGGTTATTCCCAGACCCCTCTTGCCCATGTCTTGGACAGGAAGTTTCCCCACATTGAGGAGCAATCAGAATCCCCATCTATCCAGCTACTGGAGAAGAAGAAGGAGGCCAAGATCATGCACCATGCCATGTTGCAGAAGAAGGAGGTGGGGGACTGGTGGTGGGGTGCAGAGGGGGCCTTGGGGGCAGCCCTTCATTTGGTGGGTGGCAGTGGCTAGTGCCAGGAGTTCCGGGTGGTGGCTCTGTGTTCCCTCTGCAGAGACAGGCATGATCCGAGTCTTTGGGGAACCAGGGTCCCGGGATGCTCGACTCTGACCCAGGCATGGGTGGGCCCTGGAAGGCCTGGGGATTGACACACTTGAGCAGGGGACGCTGGGGCCTTCCTTGGTACCCATGTCAGGGGTCCTCCTGACCTCTCTGCTCCCCCCACCCCAAGGCATTTCAGCACAGAATGGAAACTCTGAACCTACGCTGGGAGGAACTGGGCATCAAGGAAGCCCAGTTGAAGGCCCACATGCAGAAGTTCGAACAGTTCATCCAGGTACCCCTCCCCCTCTTCTCCTCTTCCTCCTGGCTTTTGCTGACTCCTCACCCCAGAGGAGCGGTCTCTTCAGTGCTCGACAATGCCTGGGGCTTCTCCCTTAATGCCCCCACTTACTGCTGTTTGTAATTTCTTGTTTACCTGTCAGTCTCTGCTCCTTTTAGATTTCTGTTTATTATTTCCTTGCCCATACCTGAGACATACAATTTATGGAATGAATGAGTGAGTGAATGAATGAGCGAGGTATGGTCAGGGTTAGGCACTTGGAGATACAAAGATGAATCAGACAGGGTTTTAGTACCCCAACTCACCCCATCCCTCCCTCTTAGCACTGAGGGTCCACAGAGGGGTTGGATGAAGGACCAGATACTAGAGTCGGTTCTGAGGCAACTCCCCTCATCTGGTCCTTTGAGGAGTGACTTAACTATTTTTAGACCAGATTTCTCCCAGGAGGAAGGGCCTGGTGCAACTCCAGGGAGTAATCACGGGCCTCTGCTACAGGGGAGTCCTGCTGCTAAGCATCTCTGTCTTGCTCTGTGCCTAACCCAAGTGGGAAGAGAAGCTGATGGGTCAGGCATATTGTCTGGAGGTCCAGTTCTCACTGACCAGAGAAAAAGCTAGTGGAGTGGTCGGGGTGGCGGGAAATTTGGGGGTGAGGGGTTCTCCAAGTGGCCTCTAGAGGCATCAGAGTCTCGGAGAGCTTGTTACATGTATGGACCTGGGGACTCCTCTCTCCTTGGTTTCTTTCAGCTGGCCTGAGGTCAGGCCCAGGAAACAACATTTTTTTAAAGTTCCTCAGAGGAGTGTGATACACGGTTGGACTTGAAACCCACTGGTTTATGGCCTGTCAGTTTTCTCCTGGGCTTATGGGGCACGGTGCAAAGCTGTGCCTTCTCCACAAGCTTCCAAATGCCCCCACCACACGTGCCCATCTGGGGGAACCACAGGAGCCCCTGGAGAGGAAAAGGAGCCTCACAAGTGCATTGTGAGGGGTGGGTTCACCCTCTAAACTTGGGGGAGGGCTTTGCAGAGGGAAGAAGAAGGAGGGTCTGCCTAATTGCAGTAGCTGAGCCTCATGTGTTGTTCTGGGCATCAGATTGCCTGGGTTATCTCCTCCTGCCTGAACCTGCAGCCAGTCTGAGCCACTGGCTACATGCTCTCTGGAATGTCCTGCCCCCAGACCCTCAGGAGTAGGCCCCTCTCCTATCTCATCTCCCTGTGGCTTGAGCACTGTTGCCCCAGCTTTTGGTAGGAAGAGAGGGGCTACTGCCTCTCATTTCTACAGTTGGAGGAACTGAGGCACCAAGGACCAAATCAGCAGAAATTTCAGGCCTCTGGCCCAGGTAGATGATGCCTGCCCATCCTCAGGGTGGCCTCCTGAGCTCAGCAAACAGAGGCCCTGTGTGGGGCTCCAGGGAGGGTGGAGTGAGTGCCTGACAGACACCACCTCCCTGGCCCCAGGAGAATGACCAGAAACGGATCCGTGCCCTGAAGAAAGCTACTAAGGAGAGAGAACTTAAGAGGCAGCGCATGCGCGAGCTGGCCAAGGCCAAGCAGGAGATGGCGGCCCTGCGGCTACAGCACCAGCGGCTGAACAGCAAGCTACAGGACTACTCCATCTTCAACAAGTACCTGGAGAAGGTGGTGGAGAACTCAGAGGTGAGTAGGGGCAGGTCCGTGCCTTCCTCAGCCCCATCTCCCCTTTCCCAGAACCTGGGGCAATAGGGGACCCTCTGCATGGATGGTCACCCTACTCTGAGAATGCACATCCAGCCCTGGAGGGAAGCTGAAAAGGCCCGTGGTGAGGGTGAGGGACTGGGGGGTGTCTGTGAGTGACAGCTGTGTAAATGTCTCTGTGTGGATGGTGTGTGGTGTGTGTTGGGGGAACGAGGTTTCTTTTTGCAGCACGAAGCATAAGCTTTGCCTGCCTCAGGATGTGGCCCACTTCTGTCCCTGCTTCCCCTCCTCCCTGGGGTTTTGTTTACTTAAGAGTAAATAGGGAGAGGAAGGGAGAGAAACTGGAAAACACCCAACCTAACGCAGAGCTTCAGAACTTAGTATGTGCTGGGCCCTGGGCGAGGCGCTGCACATGCGTGACTCATTCAGTCTGCTCCTCGGCCCCCAGAGGAAAGCCATCCGCTGGATCACCACTGCAGGGGAGGAGGTGGAGGCTCAGAGGGGTTAGATAAACCGCACAGGGTCTCCCAGCCTGAGCCCTTGCTTCTAACCACTTCTCTGTGGGCCCCACGGACAACTGCTCCTCCTAAAGTTGACTTGCTGCCGGAGCTTCAGGATCTTCACCTTCTTCCCACCCCTGCGCTCTTCAGTCCGGCTGACCCTTGAACAGCGCAGGTTTGACGTAGGCAGTTCCACTTACACTAGTGGCTTTTTTCACTAGACCATTAGAAAAAAATGGCAGACAAACCATATAGCCTAAAACCGATGATAGGAACTTGCAGTATCGATACGTACAATATAGTACTGTAAATGTATGTTCTTTTCCTTTTGATTGTCTTAATAACATTTCCTTCTAGCTAATTTTACTGCAAGAATATGATATGTGATGCCTATAACATACAAAATATGTGTTCAAGAACCATTTATGATATCAGTAAGGTTTCCAATCAACAGTAGGCTATCAGTAGTTAAGTTTTGGGGTGGTCAAAAATCACATGTGGATTTTCCACTGCACGGAGGTCAGCACCCCAAACCCTGCATGGTTCAAGGGTCAAGTGTATTTGACAGGCGGACACGCCTCCTTTCCAGATATCGTTGCCCTTTCCTCTGGGCCCCCTCCCTCCCTCTCCTACTTTCTTCCTCGGGCTCCTCAGGGGATCCTCTTCCTTGCTCCTTCTTTAAATGCTCCTCACATCTTCGCTGCAAACCCTCCACTCTTCTCCCTGATCAATTCCCTGGCCCTCCTGTGGATGACACCGGTGTCAGTGCTGTCCGCACTGCTTCCCCCTATCCCCATGCGACATCGGCAGGCAGGACCCTTTACCAGGGCAGAGTGAGGCACGAGGTAGGCCCTCTGGGCTGGGGAGCAACGTCCTGTGGGGGCTGCGGAGAGATAAAGGACTCACGGCTTGGTGAAGTCTCAGCGATTCCCATATGGAACCACCAACCTAATTCATGTATGCCTGAGTCCCAAATCCGTGTTATCTCCTCCATTCTAAGAAATCTGATAAATTGTTCATTGAATAATTGGAGTGGGGGTTTTTGTTGGGGAGAGTGAGGGAAGACTATTATATTAAAGCAGCAGATAAATGATAAGAAAAATGATACAAATTCAGAGCTGGTAAAGTGTATGTCTCTCTCGGTCCTGTAACTCCCCCCTGAGCTTCAGGCCCCTGCATCTAATGTATGGAGTCCACAGCCGGTCTCCTCTGCTTCCTGTCCTGCCGTCCCCTGGTGCTGGTGAATGGCATGGCCACCCACCCACCCACAGCCTCCCACCCACGGCCTCACCACAACTGGAGCCTCCTCCTTGACTCCTCCCCCTCCTCCCTCATCCCTGGAAGCCATCAATCAGCGGATCTGGTCTGTTCTGCCTCCTAAGTATTCCTGGAATCCGGTCCCTGCCCCTTCCTCATCCAGACCACCAGCATACCTCATCTGGAGTTCAGCTTCGAGTTATTCCTGGCCACCAGCCTGTCCAGCATTCTAGAGCCAGCCTGACCTCCCGTCTCTGTCACCTTCTCTCTTTATTCATTCATCTATTTATTTCAAAGTATTTTAATCATACTGAAAAGTAGGGACAAATAGATAATAGCACCCAAGTACTTACCACAGCCTTGTCAAATCTTAATATTTGCCCTCAATTCTTTTGTCTTTAATAAAATACTACAGGTAATTAAAACCCCCATACCCCCCCAACCCTATTCTTTTTCCCCTCCTCACAGGTAATTGGATCTCGGATTTTCTAAGTTCTCGTTCACATGCTTTGGCAGCATATTACATATTCATAAACTATGAATAGTGTTGTACATGTCCTTTTGTGACTTACTTTTTCTGATCAATATTCTTTAAAACCTTTTTATTATGAAAAGTTTTAAACATATGCAAAAATAGAGAGAACAGTCTATTGAATGCCCATTACTCACCACCTAATTCCAACAATTATCAAATCATAGTCAAGTCCCCCGAGCCCCCACATCTGCCATTTTGAAGCAAATTATATTTTTGCATCCCTGAGTTGTTCAGTATGTAACTCTGAAAGAGAAGCTCTTTTTTAAAATAGTTGCAATACATGGTCACACCTAGCAAACATTTAATGTAAAGTCCTCTATATTAAATATCCACTTGATGTTAAAAATTCCCCCATTATTGCACAAATTCTTTTTAGACAGTTGGTTTGTTCTAATTAGGGTCCAAACAAGGTCCCACACTGCATTTGGTTGATATGTTTCTCAAAACACAGGCATTATTGTGCTGATAAAATAAGCCAAACATAAAAGAGGGCACACTGCATGACTCTGCTCATGTGTTTATAAACAGGCAAAATGAATCACTGGGGACAGAAGTCGGAATCCTGACTTTCTTGCTAATAGGGCACAGAAAACCCCTCTAGTGTGCTGGAAATATTCAAACATCCCTTCTTCACATAATTAGAATACTACCACTCAAGAACGGGACTTCATAAAGAGAGTCTTCCCTTTATCCACTGTTTGGTCACTGTGTGGGTCTTCGAGAAGCAGCTGGTTAAACGTTAGATTCTTCATTGCCATTTGCAGAATGAGTTGGTTCTCCAGCGTCCTCCAAAACTGACCTGTCGTGTTGTCATACTCATTATGGACTCAGGGATTTTTAACATGTTTGATGTTTTAATCTTCTGTACTTACTCTTACTGATGTTCAAAGTGTCCCATCCTTGGCCAGTGGGAGGCTCTTCGAGTTGGCACCTAAGTCCCTTTGCCTTCAGCATTGTGCCGTGGAGAAGTGCTCGTGGCACTGCTGACAGGCCCATTCGTTCCTACTTGCATGCTGTCGCATCATGTGCAGAGTGAGCTTTCGAATATGGACATGAAGCCCTCTCTCTGCTTTTTAAAACCCTCCAGTGGATGATGTCCAGACTCCTTCTCAGGGTTTACTGGGCACTTTTATTACCTCCCCAGGCCAAATTCGCCCTTCCTACCTTGAGCTCATGTCATTCACACTAACCTTTCTTGAGCTTCCTGAACATGCCACACACAGCCCATCATCTTTACCCAGGCTGTGCCCTCTACTTCCTCACCTCCCCGCCCCTGCCTGCATCTGGTGCTCTCCAGTTTGTACCTCTGGTCTCATTTTAGACGTCCTCTCCCCACAGGAAAACTTTTCGGGCCGTTCCCACCTCCTCTAATGCCGGATTGGGTAGCCCTTCCCCACTGAGGCATATTTGGGGAGGGGCCAGCAGGGCAGTTCCCAGAACACCAGTGTATCACTGGAAATGTCGTGAGATGGGCAAAGTGCCCAGGGAGTGTCCCCTGGGTGGCTAAAAAGCACACTTTGATAAGCCCCTGGGGAGGTAAGCTGGCATCCTGGAGCTGGTGCTCACACTACCTTCCAAAGAGGGAGGGTCCTTGGCTTCTCTGCTGCTGAGTGAGACCTGAGAGTTAGAGCCAGAGTGGCATGGCTCTGGACCAATGCTGGAGGAGGCAGCTGAGCCTGGCAGGCCTCCTGCCCTGCTGGTACCCTCTCCAGCCTCTGCTGGAGGGAGACCTCAGCAAATGTTGAACAAATACCAGAGAGCACAGTATTGAAGATATTACTCCCCCTGCCCCCAGTCTCCATCCAGCCCCATCCTCCAGTCATAGATAGGCCTTATCACTCTGCATTATGACTGACTATGTACTGTCTGTCTGTGCTCCCTCTGCACCACCCTGAGTTGTAGGCTTCCCAAGGGGCAGGGTCTAGCTGTCTCATCTCCTGCTCTGCCCCTAGCAGTTAGCATGGTTCCTGGGCTGTACGTGGCTCTTGGTACTTTCTCATTGAATAGGATTACCACGGCCTTGGGAAACACCTCAAAATGCACACCTCCCCCTCCTACAGACATGAAGCTCTCTGTCTCTGCTTTTTAAAACACTTTGGTGGATGAAGTCTAAATTCTTTCTCAGGGCTTACCAGGCACTTTTTTTACTTCTCCAGGTTAATCTCTTACTCCCCATCTTGAACTCAGATCATCCACACTAACCTTTCTTGAGCTTCCTGAACATGCCACACATAGCCCATCATCTTTACCCAGGCTGTTCCCTCCAGCAGTTCTCAACTCTAGAATCAACTGCTGGGGGGGGTGGGGGGGACAGTGTTGCAAAATGCAGGTGCCAGGGACCACTTTAGACCTGTTTTCCATACAGTTCTCTGGGGGTGGAGACTGCCAGGTGCCCTTTTTAAAGCTCCTCCCATGATTCCAACATGTGATAGAGAGTAAGAACCTCTGGTCTAGTTGTACTGTCTCCAACATGTGGCCCATGGCCTGTAACAACCCAGGAGGAGCAAGCAGTGGGACTGTAATGTCATCGGAGCCTCTGTCCCTTGACCTTGGCCTAGGGTGTCTCTGCCAGGCCAACGAACCTAGGCCAGAAGTTGACGGGTAGCAGGGGCAGCTGCCTTGGGCTGTGGGGCTACAGTGCAGTGAGCTGAGCCCCTCACCGCAGTTCGAAGAGATCCACGAGGTGATGGCGCGCTACAAGACGCTGGTGAGCATGCACGATGACCTCATGCAGTCGGCGCAGGAGGGCCAGGAAAAGATCGAGCGTGCCAAGGCACGGCTGGCACGCTACATGGAGGAGAAGGACGATGAGATCCTGCAGCACAACAATGAGCTGGCACGCTTGCAGATGCGCTTCGACCGCGCCCGCAGTGATGTCATTGTCTGGGTGAGCAGACCAGATGGTCAGGGGGCTTCTGGGCTTACTGGGTGAATGAGTGAGGAACTGACACACACATACATACTTGCTGCGTTCATGTCCCTCCCTCATACTCTCCCCAGGAATCTCGCTGGGCACATATCCAGAACACCGCAGCCAAGAAGACCCTCTTGCTTGGCACCATTAAGATGGCAACACTGAACCTCTTCCAGACTGTGAGCAAGCAGCTGAAGGAAGCATCCTTTGTATCCCTGGAGGATACGCACAAACAGCTGGACATGGTAAGAGGAGGCACAGGTACCTGGTGGGCTGTGTTTACTGAACCACGGGCTTCTTGATTGGTTGAGTAGGGTAATGAACTGGCTCAAATCTTAATGGGATCGGCATTACCTAGGGACTGGGAAGTATTGCTGGGCCCCACCCAGAGTCTCTGACTCAGTAGGTCTGCAGTGAGAACCCCCTTGAGATTCCATTTTCAACAAGTCCCAGGCAGTGGTGATGGTGCTGGTCTGGATTCCACATCTTGAGAACCACTGCATTAGAGCCAAGACCCTGTTGGACCCCAATCAACAGGGACAGTAGCAGAGACACACTACTGAATTCATGGTGCAAAACAGTCTTTGTAGATCTAGTGAGTTCCGGAAGATGTATACCTTTCCCACTCTTTGGGAAAAGAGACCATTGGTGAGGGAGGGGGAAGTAAGTCAGCAAGTTTAGGAAACTGTTAGTCTTGTTAATAGCAATTTGAGATTTTTCTCTCTGAAGTAATCGAAAGGAAATAACTTTTTCACTGTATGATCCAAAGCTCTTTGATGCCATGTCCATGTGCCACCTAAAATCATCTCACTTCCGACCAAAGGTAAACACATCCCATAATTTGGGAGCCTCCACAGCAGCAGATGCATTAGCCATGCTGCTTGTGACATGCAGAGAAACATGCTGTTTGTTTATTCCTTTAGCGAAAGTCTAGAGCTCTGCTGTGAGATAGTAGAAAGTAAGCTTCTAAAAACTGGGGTTTTTGTTTTGTTCCCTGCTGAATCCCCAGTGTCTAGAGCACTGCCTGGCACATAGCAGGCACTCAGTGAGCACTTGGTGAGTGATGATCCAACACAAGCTAAAAACAGCAATCAACTGAGAGGCCTTTTCCCCTGCCCCACAACAAACAACAACAACAATAACAACATGAAACTCGTGAGGTGTAAAGGACTGCACCTGCTGGCTGGGCAGGAAGGACGCCTTCCCTAAATCAAAAAGTCTGCCTGTTTCTTCAGGCACGTTACAGCAGAATTATTGACAGTCCAAAGACCGTAAAGAGCATTTGTAAGAAAGTTTGTTCTGAAGCAGCAGTTCTCAAACTTTTTGGTATTAGGATATTTTTACACTCTTAAAATTTATTGAAGAGCCTCTAAAAGTTTCTGTTTATATTGGGTATTGATATTTGCCATATTAAAACTCAAATAGAGGACTTCCACCAAGACGGAGGCGTAGGTGGAAACCCTGTGCCTTCTCACACAACCAAGTTTAAAAACAACAAAGTTTTAGCAACAAAAACGCAGCCAAACCACAGAAAATTGAACTATATGGAAGTTTGACAACAACGAACCTTTCAGCCAGACCCAGCCAGACTGGTAAGAGGGGTGAAGCCAGCAGCGGAGCAGGGTCGGGCAGGAAAGATCCACCAGACCGACCCGGGTGCTCGATCTAGCGTGAAGGCAGCCGTGGGTGGATCCCAGATGTGGAGTAGCAGGCGGACCCACTGAGGGCTGACCACAGTCACACATTTGTGCGCAGATAAACCAGTGAAGGAGCAAGCAATGAGACAGACCAGGCAGGCCCCAGCAGCGGGAAGCAGCAGAGGGGACCACTATTGTCCCTCTCTGACCCCACCCCCACAACAGCGTCAATACCCAGGGACTGGGTCGTCCTGCCCTGGTGAACACCTAAGGCTCCTGTTATTCATAACAGGTGCAAACAGACCAAAACATTATGGCTCAAGAACAGCTCAAAGCCCCAGAGCCCATAACTCTAAGCGACCAAGAGATAGCCAAACTTTCAAATGCACAGTTCAAAACACTGGTGATCAGGATGCTCACAGAACTGGTTGATTATAGTCATAAATTAGAGGAATATATGAAGGCTAAGCTAATTGAAATGAATGGCAATGCACAGGAAACCAATAGTGATGGAAAGGAAACTGAAACTCAAATCAAGGGAGTGGACCAGAAGGAAGAAAAAAATGACCAAACAGAAAAGGATGAAGAAACAAGAATTCAAAAAAAAAAATGAGAAGAAGCTTAGGACATCTTTAAATGCTCCAGCATCCGAATTATAGGGGTACCAGAAGGGGAAGAGGAACAGCCATGAGTGGAAAACTTATTTGAACAAATAATAAAGGAGAACTTCCTCAATCTGGCAAAGGAAATAGACTTCCAGGAAATCCAGGAAGCTCAGAGAGTCCCAAAGAAGTTGGACCCAAGAAGGAACACACCAAGGCACATCATCATTACATTAGCCAAGATTCAAATGAAGGAGAGAATCCTAGAAGCAGCAAGAGCTAAGGGGACAGTCACCTACAAAGGAGTTCCCATCAGACTGTCAGCTGATTTCTCAAAAGAGACCTTATAGTCAAGAAGGGGCTGGAAAGAAGTATTCCAAGTCATGAAATGCAAGGACCTACATCCAAGATTGCTCTACCCAGCCAAGCTTGCGTTTAGAATGGAAGGGCAGATAAAGTGCTTCTCAGATAAGGTCAAGTTAAAAGAGTTCATCATCACCAAGCCATAATTATATGAAATGTTTAAGGGACTTATCTAAGAAAAAGAAAATAAAAAATATGAACAGTGAAAGGACAGCAAACTCACAGTTATTATGAACCACACCTAAAACAAAAGCAAACTAAGGGGACAGCTAGATCAGGAGCAAACCATAGAAATGAAGATCACATGGAGGGTTAGCTACAGGGGAGTGGGAGAAGGAGAAGGGGGGAGAAGATACAGAAAATAAGTAGCATAGACAGTAGGTAGAAAATAGATAGGGGGAGGGCAAGAATAGTAGGGGAAATATAGAATCTAAAGACGTGGTCATAAACTAAAGGGAGGGAATGGTGGGGGAGGGGATGTGCAGGGTGGAGGGGAATGAAAGGGGGGAAGAGAACAACTATAATGGCATAATCAATAAAATATATAAAAAATCTCAAATCGAAAATATTTAATTTATGTCCTGGCCAATGTGGCTCAGTTGGTTGGAGCATTGTCTCATACACCAAAAGGTTGGAGGTTCTATTTCCAGTCAGGGCACATACCTAGGTTGCAGGTTCAATCCCCATTCGGGAAACTAATGGGAGGCAACCCACCAATGTTTCTCTCTCTCCTTTCTTCTCTCTCTAAAATCAATAAACACTTTTTCATTGTTAAATACATAATCTATTCATGCTAACATAAATAGCATTTTTAATGAAAAATACATTTTCAAAAATATATTTTGTGCAGATAAGTAGCGTTATTTGACACTTTTATAAATTCCCCTATGGTCTGGCTCCACAGAGGCCAGGTGGGTTCTCACAGCTGCTTTGCATTCACTCAGTTGCGACAACCCATGTCATCAAAACATTCTACTCTGGTGAAATTCCCTCACTGTACACTAGTGAGGGAATAAGAGGCAAATAATATCTTAGACTATAAGAAGAGCTCTGGCCTTGCAGCCCCTCTCCCCAGCAGCGGGGTCTCGGGGACCCCCGGAAGTCCTCAGGCCCCTTCCCTTTAGCTGTGTAAAGAAGGTGGGGTGGGGTGCAGTCTGGCTCCTTGGCCCTGCCTGGGCATTCCTGGTGCAGATGGAGGCTTCCAGTTCATCCCCTCCAAATGTGGGCCTTTCTGACTCCCTTTTAACATTGATTTGCCTCCATAGGGATACTTAAGGTAGCCCCAACATTGTTTTAAAATATCCCACTTCAGCCCTGGCCAGGTGGGTCCACTGATTGGAGCGTCAACCCTTACACCAAAATGGTTGTAGGTCCAATTTCCGGCTGGGACAGGTACAGGAAGCAACCGATCAATGTTTCGCTCTCACATCAATGTTTGTCTCTCTCTAAAATCAGTAAACATATGCCCATAGGATGTGAGCCTACTGAGAGGAATACACATGGTCAAGTGCCTGAAACATTAAAAATAAGGACCAAGAAAACTGCAAGTTAAAATCTAAGGTTAAGGCAAGGGAGAGAAACAAAGACTATAGATTCTTGTATTGTAAAGGACAGTAGTTGGCTCTGAGCTTCCTGGTCAGCAGAAGGAAAAGCAACACACGGTTAGGTACCAAAATAGGAAAATATAAGGTTTTCCTCAGAGAAAGCAAACCTTTCCCGCACTCTAACTGGAATTTCTCAAGGAGGCTTCGGAGAGCCTCCGTGAACAAAGCTGTCAACACATCCTACCACAGATCCAGCCATGGGCTTCGGAAGTCACTCATCCAGGACTAGGAGCAAAACATCACAGTGCAACATAGGAAAAGTGATTCTGCCAAAGCCCAAGCCGATCTGAATTCAGGTCTGTGTACTGTGTCGTGGAAGGTCCAGCCTTATCCCTGACTACAGCCCAAACTGCCTGGAGCAGCATTTTTCAACATGGGCTTGGGAAATCCTAGAATCCCAAGATTTTAGTAAGTTTCCTGTTCGAGAATAAAAGGACTCTGTGGACTAACAACTTTAGAAAACTCTAAAGTTAAACAAGTTAGATGGTTTTTAAATCCGGGACTTCGGAGAGTCTTTGGTCCGGCTCTGTCCCGAGACTCACTAAGCAGATTCAACATAATTTATCTGCTTATCGTTTCTAAAACTCGATTGCTGAATCTTTTTTGGAGGTATGTCATTACTCATTATAAGAACATAGTTTGGGAAGTGCTGAATTCGTCTTCTCTGTAGCCTTGGAAAAGTTACTTTAATTCATTGATTCTTTGTCTCCTCTTTTGCAAAATAACAATTACATCAGTAACGGCACCAGAATTATTTGCTGACAGTTGTTGAGAGTTTGGGGCAGTCTGTGTAGTCCTGTCTCTGGGAGCATTCTTGAAAAGGAGAAATTTGAGGACGGAGATCTTTGAAGTCATCTAGACCAACCTTTCCTCCCTCTCCACTTTCTAAAGATGAAGAAACTGAGTCCCGGCCAGATGAGCAACCTCCCCAGGGCAGCATCAGGACCCCGGGTCTTCGGACTTGTAAGGCAGCACCCTTTCTGCCGCCATGTGGGTTTTATCTTCTTTAAAACAGAAGTTAGAGAATGGAATTTAAACTTCCTAGATGCTTCAAGATTAGCCTAATGAGCCTCAGTTCTGGGTTTCGTGAAAACGACCACTTTGAAGGTTATTAAATTGTGAGAGCCGTCTGCCCCCACACTGGCCAGACTCAGTCTGCTCAGGGCCCGCCATCTCTCCTGCCTACAGTTGGATGGTCAGCCCATTCTTCTTCCTGTCTCTGTGTCTGCTTCTAGGACTTCTAACTCCGTTGCTACTTCCTGCTTCTAGTCTACTAAGCCTGATCCTCCATCTCAACTAGAGTAATTGTCAGATGAGGGGAAGTGGCTTCAAGAAGTCAGTCACAGGGAAATGGTGACTCCTTACAGGTGATGCCTGGACATGCTCTGTATTTGGATGGGATGGCCTGTCGCTGGGTTGGGCTAACTCTGGTCCCCCTGCCTTGTTAGATCCAACAGTTTATCCAGGACCTGTCGGACATCTGGGCAGAGGTAAAGAAGAAGGAGCAACAGCAGATCCGGGTGTAAGGAGCAGCCGTGAACAGAGACAAGAGAGAATGAGTTCCCAGTGAGCCTGCAGCCCAGCCCCCGCAGGCTGGCCCTCTGGGTCCCCTGTGCCTTTTTTGCTGGCAGATACCCTGCTATATGTCCCCTTGGGTCTCAGCCCATCCGCCCCTGAAAATATTAAATTGAATAAGAACTTTGTCCCTAAGTTCTTCTTTGATTATTTATTCACGGGGAAGATGCTCCATTGAGGAAAGGACCCCCCAAAGCACCCCCTCTTGAAGCTGGTCACCTAGGCTGCCCACAGTCTAGAAATCAAATCTGAGTTATAGTGTCTCCTAGGCTTTGGACTTGCACACAGTGAGTACTCACATGGGCAGCAGACCTTAGGATAAGTACACGGGACCATTTTTTTCCTCTACCATTTCAAAAAATATTTTTAAGTTGGTATTTCTGATTGGGGTGCAGAGGCTCACTAGAAACTATGAAGGCAGCTTACCAAATCAAAGTTCCACCTCTTGCCTGACCTCAGGAGCAAGCCCTCCTTTCCCTCCCTTTGTGAACCCCCAAACCACAGCGTGGTATCAGCTACGCCGTGGTAGGGACAGCAGGCAGGCTGCCACAACGGCACCCGAGCAGGCTGGGCTGCTTGCTGGTTTCAAAGCAGCAAAACTGAACTGAGAACAGGTCAATGTGAAGTCTTCCCCTGAGGCTCAAAAGCTCAGTTGCACATTCCTCAATCCTCAATGGCAAAAGCCAGGCTGGAAATGGACAAACGAAGCAGCGTTTATCGAGCATATATTTAATGTTCAACATCCCAGCAAAAACTCTGTGCGGCACCATCGTCCCTGTCTTGCCTGACAGGCCACCTGCCCAAGGGCACTGGTACAGATGACAGGGCTGGGATTCCCAGGGGGTCTGTCTGCCCCGAGCCCAGGCTCCCGCGGCCAGGCTGCCTTTCAGAAGGCAGAGACACTACTGCTGTGCCCTCCCTAGAAGGCTGAGGATCAGGCCTTGTTTGCTCCCCGGCCCTGTGATCCCAGGGGGGCCGCAGGGTCCCCATTAGCTCCAGGTGCTGCTGCAGCCTCCCCTGCTGGGATCTGCTCTGAGCAGTGTGACCCCCTCACCTTCGTATACAGCAGCATACTGCGGTGGTCCCAACACGGCCTCTGCACCGGCAACATCAACAACACTGGGAACTTATTAGAAATGCAAATTCTGCCCTGGCTGGTGTGGCTCAGGGGACTGAGTACCAGTCTGTGAACCAAATGAGTCATTGGTTTGATTCCCAGTCAGGGTACATACCTGGGCTGCAGGCCAGGTCCCCAGTTGGGGGCGTGTGTGAGGCAACGGATGGATGTTTCTCTCACACACATCAATGTTTCCCTCCCTCTCTGTCTCCCTCCCTTTTCCTCTAAAAATAAATAGATAAAGTCTAAAAAAAGAAAAGAAAGAAATGAGAATTCTAAGGCCCCACGCCAGACCTGAGAACCGGAAACTCTGGGGGGGCCCAGCCAGGTGGGTTTTAACCGGCCCCTCAGTCATTCAGATGCACACTCAGTTCAAGACCCGCAGCTGCAGAGTGAACCAAACCCTTTCAAGGACCCGGGCTCCTTCCATCTCACATGTGAAGTAACACCTGTCAGCAACAACCTGTCTCAGGTGGAGGTGTAGACAAAGCGCTTTGTTACAGGGGTTGACCTTGGGCGGTGGTGGGCGCTGGTTAAGCTCTCTCTGCAGAGCTGTCGTCTTCACACCTGATGCTGGACCTTGGAGCCCACGGGGTGAGGTAGTAGGGAAAGAAATACAGGTGTAAAGTTGGGGGGATCAGGAGTGAGTCAGAATCCAGACACACAAACAAGCTGGGGATGGAGAGAAACCCATGGCAGTCCTGTGACTCCCAGGCTTGCCGATACATATGTCCTGCAGAAGCCAGGACACTTCATATTTTTTTAAATCCTCACCTGAGGATATTTTTAAAATCAATTTTAGAGAGGGGGCAGGGGAAGAGGGAGAGAGAAACGTGGGTGTGGAAGAGAAACATTGATCAGGTATCCTATATGTGCCCCAACTGGGGATCAAACCTGCAGCCTAGGTATGTGCCCTGACCAGGGATCAAACCCCTGGCCTTTTGGGGTTCGATCCAACACTCCAACCAACTGAACCAACCAACCAGGGCAGGACCCTTCTCCTGAAGCTGAGCACACAGCTCAGGCCCAGGAACCAGGGCGGCTGAAGGAGGACCAGGGAGGGTTACCGGGATGAGGCGATGAGGGGAGCTGGCAGAGCAGCAGTAGAGTGTACAAGCCACAAAGTGGCCACCACGTCACTTCCACCTTCCGAATCTGAGTTTCCGTGAGCCACCCCTGCCCTCTCCTCGGAAACTCCCAGGGAAATGACTTCTGGGAAATGGAGTTCAGCCTAGTCAACTGCCCGTCCCCAAGCCTCCACACCACCATTAGCTCTGTTTCACAGGTGAGGAAAAGGGGAGGAGGATGAAGGGACTTCTGTCTGAAAGGAATACAGCAGAGGTGAGTTCCAGGAGCAGTGCTGAAGGGAACAGTTAGAGTCTCACAGGAAGGAAACGGCAGGGCCTTTCAGAAGCTGGTTTGTGGGTGAAGGATATGCCTCTAAAATAGCTTCCCCTTGCCTTTGAGCCCCCTGGGCCCTGTCCTGAGATGCAAGAGAGGGTGCAGGGCAGACAGTTCCCCTGAGCCCCCAGTATACACACCCCCACTGCTTCTGTGAAGTGCTGTTTGGGAAGTGCAACCTGTAAGGACCGAACGCTCTGGGAGGCCAAGGGCCCCCACAGTCACCCCACCCCCTCCTCAGCCCCGAGACCCTCTCCCTCTTCTCTCCTTCCAGCTCCTCTGTTCACATGTCAAGTTTCCTGCTGGAAGACTCACACGTGTAATTTCTATGATTGCACACAAGTTTATCTCACCCCACACATGCTTACAAATGTGTATAGCTCCCTCTGATACTACTGCATTTTTCAGGTTCCAGAGGGCCCAATGCCTGGAGCAGAAGAAATTCGGTGGATCTAGGAAGGTCTCTTGATGACAAGCAAAGCCACAAACCCACAAACTCCTCCCCAAGCACACAGAACAGGGCGGAGCAAATCCAGAAGACCAGGGATTCTCAGGAGCCTGTGCGTGGGGGTGGCAGTGGTCCAGGCAGGCCCTCACGCCTGCTCCCAGTCCCTCAGCACATCCACCCAGGCCCTGCACCCATGGGAAGGAGAAGCCCAAGGCTGCCCACTCAAGAGAGACTTGGGCCCCAGGTGCATGAGATCACGACCCAAGAAAAGGAAGCTAGAATTAAGAGCTGATTGGAGTTTTCCCAGCAAGAAAAGGCACCGGCTCATTAAAGCAGAAGATAACTGATTGGTTCCAGAAATAAATGGTTCTCATTAGCAAACGCGGGAGGTAGGGCTCTGGGTATTTTATGGGTAAAGGAGGCAAGACCTTCAGACACTTAGTCTCAATGCAAAAACACTCCATTCCCTCACAAATGTTAGCTCTTCCTGACAGAAAGGAGGGGAGGAAGGGAGGAAGGAAAAGAGAGGAGGGTTACATCCTCAAGGAGTGAATGAGCTCAGGTTGCCAGCAGCCAGGCAACAGACATTTCCATGTCTGTCACACCGGCCATGCCGAAAACACAGCCCCCAAACAGCAATGGATGTCTAAAAGCTGCTGGTGAGAACAGGATTAGAACAAAATGTTGAAAGCTTTTCGGGTTGACCTCTCTCTCTCTGGAGTAGCTAAAGGGTCTGTGCTTCCGTGGGATAAGCTGTTGGTCTCTGGGCTCAGACTGCTCCTCACACAACTTTGCCCCCGCTGCCCCTCTCCCAGACTGCAGGCCCACATCTCCTACACAAGCTTTCCAGCCGACTGCAGGGGCTATGATGCATTCCTCATTTCAAGCCATCTTAGTGTTGCTGACTTAGGCACCTGAGCATGCTGCTTTGCTCTGGGACTTTCAATCCAGAACGATCTATCATAAGTGTCCTGTGTACATAGCAGGGTGCCCACGCAGAGTCCCAGGAGGCCCCTGCCCCAGGCAGCTCCACTTCCCACTTCTCAGTAGGGATAAGAACCCACTGAGAGCTGTGATACCAGCTGAGTCTAGGCCTCGCCTCAGCTCTCCTCACCGGCAATGGCCCGGTGGTCCCTGAAGGTTTAACTCTGAAACTTTTAGCATTTTGAAATTGAGAAGGCTCCCAATGTAGACCACAGAGAAGGGAGTGAGAAGAGCCAGGCTTAGAGGCACCCAGAACGTGGTGATACCACCCTCAAAAAGGCAAATAACCATTTTAGGAACTTCATGAGGAAGCAAGCTAGATCCAGAAATATCCAACAGAATGAAAGCCAGCTGCATAGTGATGTGAAACTGATTGTATTAATTTTCCAGTCTGCATAACAAAGAACCACAAACTTGTTGGCTTAAACCAACCCCCATTTATTATCTCAGAGTAGTAGGTTGGAAGTATGGGTTCTCCGTGCATGGCTGAAATCAAGATGTTGGTTGAGCCTGGCTCTTAAATGAAAAGTCTAGGGAAGAATCCACTTCCAAGTCTGTTCACATGTTGGCAGAATCAAGTTCGCTGCAGTTGTGGGTCCAAGGTCCCCATTTCTTTGCTGGCTGGGGTCACTCTCTGCCCCTGTTAGAGGCCACCTGCATTCCTTGTCATGTGCTGTCCTCCATCTTCAATGCCAGTAATGGAGTCACTGCCCATTTTGAATCCCTCAAACTTTCTCTTCCAATACCCAACAGAGAAAACTCTCTGCTGTTAGTAGGCTTGTGATATTAGGTTAGATCCATCCCGATACTCTCCCTTTCGCCCATAACCTGGGAGTACCGCCAGGGGGTGAAGGTCATGAGGGCCCTACCACACTAATCCAGAATGGACGTCAAAACAGCTTGAGAAGGAAGAGGAAGGGAAGGGGGGCAAGAGGAACTAAAATGAGGGTTAGTTGAAGGCAGACATGAGGAGCGGGTATAAAGAGATATTTCAAATGTGC